AGTTTACCCCAAAGTTAGTGTAGAAATGGCATCCCACAGAAACATGAACATCTTATGAAAAGTTTGAAATTTAGCATGGATTTTTTTTTTTTTTTTTGGCAATAAAAGTCTCAGCATTGTTGTTCTCCTCAGAACAGCTAAATTAAATATCATCAATATTAAAAATCTGCTGACTACAGGAGTCCCCTAATCAATGATTTCAGATGGCAGACCAGTCATTACAAATTCAAATAATCCAGTTCACTCATCTAGCTATAAGCTATTGTGTACTTTTACTCTTCTGATAAATGCTTAGCACATTACTTCAGAGAACAAAACAAAAATTCTTGCTTTCAGGGAATTAAGGGGAGGACAAATCATTAAAAATACACATAACAAATATGTGAACCATAGAGTGATAATTAACACAGTAAAAGGAGAAAATAAAACAGTACAATAAACTGTGAGTACAGGATTAGAGTGTGGACAAAATCTAAAGCTGCAATTTTAAATAGGGAGGCTGGAGCAGGCTTTATCTAGAGGTGTCAGTTGAGCAAATATATAAAAGGCATGAAGGAATTTCCTGTATGAAGCTCTCGGAAAAAGTAAAAAAGCAGCTAGTACAAAAGGACTGAGGTAAAAGTGAACCCAGAATATTTAAGAAACATGATGGCCACGCTGGCTACAAAAATGTAAAGGGAGGTAAGGGAAGACCAGATCACGCAGGCTCTCATAGGTCACGGGAAGGATATGAGCTTTTACCAAGAGTCACAAAAGATTTTCAAGAGAAGAGATGAGGTTACATTCTTCTCAATAAACTTTTTGTTTGGGTCTAATTTTGCATTTATAGCAAAGTTACAAAGCTAATACAGAGCCCCCATAAACCCTCATCCACTTCCCCTTAATATTACTATCTTATATTTATAAGGCTTATTTATTAAAACTAAGAAGTCAGTATTGATACCTTACTACTCACTACTAGCTGAACTCTAAACTATTTGGATTTCACTAGTTTTTCCATTGATGTCTTTTCTATTTCAGGATTTAATCTAGGACAACACACTGCACTTAGAATCCTGTATCTTAATTCAGTTTTTGACTTACACTTTAAAGGTACCAGTCTGTTTAGCATATGAGAATAAACTTTAGGGAGGAAGGATTAAAGGAAGCAGGGAGACCAGTGAGAAAATTATTACTGTAATACAAGTAAGAAATGATAGTGGCTAATAACAGAAATTCAAGCAAGGGCTGATCAGCGTACTACAAAAAAACTGTAGAAAATTATTGAATTCTAGATACGTTTTAGAGACAGCCTACAGAATTTGCTGATGGATTTGATGTAATGTAAAAATTAAAAAAGGAATAAAGAGAACTCAAAGAACTAGCTTTGAGTAAATGAATGTACAGGGCAGCGGTGGCAAACCTATGGCATGCATGCCATCGCTGGTTGTTCGTTATCAATGAAAGCTCTAAAATGTCTGCCATCATGGGTATAGGGTTTCTATTAACCAAGATGAGAAAGAATGAAACAAATCTCAAAAGAAAAGAGTTCATTTGGGGATGTATGAGATACTTTTTAAATATATAAATGGAGACGTAGAGGTAGCAAATAGATATGTAAATCTAAAATTCAGAAAGAAAAGGGACTAGGAAGATGAATGTAGAAGGCTTTGGTATGAAGATATTTGAAAACGAAAGACTTCATGTCATCAAAAGGAGACACAGAAAGGAAAAGCGCTCCAAAGATTAAGTGCTGGAACATTTCAACAATAAAAGGTTGGGAAGAATGGATCCACCAGAGCAGACTGGGAAAAAAGCAGGAGAGAAATCAAGGGTATAATTCTAGAAGTCCAGTGGGGAAAATGGATCACAGGGGAGGGAGTGACCAGCTGTGTCCAAAGTTGTTAAGAGGCCGAACAGGGTGATGACGCAGAATGATCAGCACACAGAGGTCAACAGGGACACTAAGAAGAGAATCTTAGAGAAGAGAGGGAGCGATGACCATGATGGACAAACTCCACAAAGCACAGGGCCTGGCACGGGGGCACACACTGTAATCACAGCACTCTGGGAGGCTGAGGGGCGCAAGTCTGAGTCCAGTCTGGGCGACCTGGTGACCCAGTGAGACCCTGTCTCAAAATGTAAGGATGAGGCACGTAGGTCAGTGTAAAGGCCATGGGTTCAATCCCAAGTGCTGCCAAAAGGAAAAAAAAAGGGAATAATAAAGAAATTGGGGCATGGAGCATAGAGAACTCCGCACAATTTCACTGCAGAGAAAATTAATGAGGTTGAAAATGTAGAAAGGTTAAATGAAACATTTCTTAAGAAGGAAAAAATATAATATGCAGGCCAAACTAAGCTTTTATAGGTCAAAATCCAAGACCATGGGGGAAAGAAAAACTTTTTTAAAAGGGGGGGGAACACAAAGACTAACACTGGAAAACAAATAACCTCAACCTCAGGCTGCGGAATCTAGTTGAGAATGAGAGAAAGCAGGCAAAATCATTCTCTTTTAATAACGTGAATATATCTGAATGAAAAAAGGTAACTAATATAAAAGAAAATTATCAGCATTATTATTAAGACTAGACAAAGTAAATCGAGGAAATGGGGAGAAAGTGGTATGGCAGTAAAAAAGCAATACCAATTTAGTTTTTAAAACCTTTTATTGAATGCCTAACTTATGCAAATCAATCATTGTTCCATCATTAGCCCTGCCCTCAGGGAGCTTTTAATTTAGTGGAGAAGAAAGCCATGAACACACAATAGCACTCACTGAGTGCTTACTCTAGGCCAAACATTTGGCTAGATGATTTACTCATTTAATCCTCACAACACTGTGCACACTCTTCAAGGAAAAATTAAATATGTGCTATTTTTACGTATACTTAATCAAGAAACCAAAATTGAAAATACTCTTCCAGGTTCAGAAAACACAATAATTTCCAAACACCGTGATGGCACTGTCAGTTTATTATAAGAAAATGATCCAAAATGTCTGAGAACTCAGAGAAGAGCTGCCAGCTTTAATAATCATGCAGCTTAAGTACCATCTCCCCAAAGACCTCATCGTATGTCGGACTTTGCTATTTATAGGAATGTAATAATTATTTACACATGTTCGGCCTTAACTACTGGTTCTTCTACGGATAATTAAAAATAACTAGCACATACCATGCTCCCCTACTCTGAAACTGAGCTACATTCAAACCTATGAACTAAAGCGTAAGTGGTGGCACATGCATGTAATCTCAGACACTAGTAAGGCAGAGGCAGAGGCAAAGATCTTAGTTTGAGGCCAGCTAGGGCAACATGGTGAGATATCATTTCAAAAAATAATTTATGAACCAATTAATGAAATTCATAAATACAACTAATCAATTGTGATCTCTAATAATTTCAGCTTCCTGGAGCTCTTCACAGGCAGCCTGAAGCACAGCTTCATAACCTAGCTTGGTGTCAGGGTGC